CCCCAAAACCCCAAAACCCCATTCGATGCAAATTTCGCAAATTAACAGCTATATTTTATAAATATAATTTAATAATGATCTGTCAACATTCAGCTTTAATAAAATTAGCGACGTCTCGAGAGGATCTCAACTCAACTTAGAGCTAGGGCACTGATTCCTCGCCTAGCTCTGCCACCAATTTATAACTCAAGCATGAAAAATCAATCGAGTCGAACCATGATACTGATGAGAACTACATGAACTGCCAAGAGTGTGGAGCTCTCATTACTAATGTATAATCAGAAATAAGCAATGATAAATTTTATAGTAAGGGGTGAAAGCTGTCAAAGATGATAAGTTTTGCTTTTTTGCTGATATTTCCCCGTACGAGACACTTAAGAACAATTTAAGGGACGAAAATAACTACGAAATCATTAGTAATCTCGAAGCCCATGATTATCTCAGAGTACATTCATCATTCAAAATCTTAATTTACTATTTGTAGGAAAGACCCACGATAGTTTCCCAAATTTATGACATGGGCAAGAGATACAAGCAGCGAGACGTCGTAGTTCACTTGGCAGTGGAACTTTTAGACAGATTTTTCCTTCAAAAAGACTTGAAGTTCGAATACTCCACGAGATCTATTTGCCTATACACGTTAACTTGCTTCTTAATAGCAAGCAAGCATGATGAATTAGATGACAATATCCCGCTGATAAAAGATTTGACCAGATACTACTGCAGAGTACTGCCTACATCAGTATCAACGCCTACGTTCGACGAGATTGTAGAGTGTGAGCGCTCGCTAATGAATTATTTCAAATGGGATTTGATGTTTGTGACACCTACTATATTAGTGCATTCTATGCTTGCGAATGGAATCGTTTTTGATAATGAAGACATTGAGAGAGCTTCATTGATTGAAGTTGCCAGGAAAGTAAATGAAAGAGTGAGTTTCACTCTAGATGTGCTAGTCAAAGAGTTATGTTTATTCAGAGATAAGAAGTCTTCCCATTTGGCTTCAGTTGTGATATATTTAGCTAGAAAAGAAGAGTTTGCACTCATGAAAACAAGCCCAGAATCCTGGACTCAAGAACTTTAGATTATTACTAATTATAGCGAGCTTGATTTGATAGAAATCAGTGAGAAGCTCAGATTGAAATTATAGTAACATAGAGATAAAGCTCAAAATTCAGCTGCCATTGACTCTGCTAAGGATCATTCCTAAATAAATAAGGAAAATTAAGTCACCGCTCTAAAGCCCACATTCACAATTAAGACTCCAATAAGCCCAGTAAAATAAGTTGTGTCTACTAATGTGTCCAATTCAAATCTTAAGACAAGCCAAAACTTCTAAAATTTCAAAAAATCAGTATCGCCTACAGGAACTTAAAACAAGCATGTCCCAGTTCAATCAACTCAGAATTAGAAGCGACCTTCTCCATTTAGAAATAAGTCAAACATGCAGAACGATAAATTTAACAACACCAGCAGTAGTTAGCATCCTGCTAGCACTTCTCTTACAACAAGTTCTTATGCATAGAAAATCTCTAGTGGATAGAATCCAAGCTATGACTATTACCCGCACAAAACTGGCTAGGCTAGTAGTCATCATTATAGTGGTTAATCTTCATAGAATCAAACACTTCATAATCCCGCTTTCATAAGGCCAGCAGGGGCAAGTTACTACCCACCTCAAAGACAATCAAACTTCCCAACATATCAAAATACATCATAAAACAATGATTCTTAAGTACAGGGTAGGGAGTCTCATGGTTCTTTCATTGGGGATGTAACTGTCGATGAATCAAATAAATTCATCCCATTGAGAACAAAACAAGCTCAGACTATGAAATAGCTCCAGCCTACCAGTACAACTAATAGTTCTTCATGCAATGAGAACAGACTCTTGCACACTGAGAGTCATGCAGCTGGCAGTAACATATCAAGACAATATATTGCAGGTGCCTCATCAATTACAAGAGAGTATGATATCAACAAACTTTAATCTTAGTTGAATAAGGAAAATAAGGTAACTGGTGGACATTCAACATATTCTAGAATGCCTGCTCTAAATAGAGAATCAGCTGATTACAATAGCTAAGGTATGCCAAATAATGGTGCTATGCATACTACTAGAGTCCCACCTTAAATGAGACCTGGTCTCAGTCATAAAGGATATGAGTATCTCTAATCCAGAGATGGAAGCTAGAATAGGCTACCTCAAATAGAAAGTTACAAAGGTTATCAATGCATGCTTACACAATCTTAATCATAAATTAAGTATGCACAGCAGTGCACTAACACTTCTAATACAAATGAAACATAGCCATCTCACACATAACCTTCAGCTTCTTGCCATAATGACCCCTTGTATAACTCCAAGAGATCTAAGTCTTGGAAAAGATCTGATGATGAATTTCAGAGCAGAGCATTGGCCTAAAGTTAAAACTAAAATACAGCAAGTTTAAGACCTCCATTGAGAAAAGAGAATAGTCATCAAGCCACGACTGCTAACACAAGTTCTGCAGTTAACACATCAAGCAGCAACTATCATCATCTCCCTCATGAGCATGTGACAAGCAATAGCAGAACTAGACTTGGATTGAGTAGATTCTCAAGCAATAATGATTATCATAGCAATAGAGGCTATGATCATAAGGACTCTAGTCTCTCCATAAATCATTATGCCAACAACATTTATTCAAGGGATAACCTACACAGTCAGTAAAGAGAAAGCAGCTTGGGCAAGAGTGGCTCTGGCCTTGGAGGTCATCGTGGCAGTCTCATGTAGGTAAATCCAGTTAATCTTAGGTAAATATGAAGATGATGATGATGTGTTGTAATGTAAAGGGTGATTAAATAACCACTTACTGTTACTGGTTCATGCATACATATATCAAATTAATAATGCAGGTCCTTGTTAAATAAATGTGTAATTATCTAACTTATATTTCTTATTTCTATACAAGTTCACTACAGCATGGGGTTTTGGGGTTTTGGGGTTTTGGGGTTTTGGGG